CGATATCTTAACCAAAATTAGCACTCCGCCGCCGCCCTTTTAATTAAATAACTTAAAGTTCAAATCGCGTCGTGATATTGTATAAACATTGGTTGGAATTTCAGCATCCAAAACTGTATCCGATAACCAGATTTCCGTAAAAATTACGATATCGTATTTACAAGTATATTTAATTTTAAGTCTGTAAGTTATGATTCTAATCTGCCACAATTTTGATAAAATATAAGTAATTTATTAGAAGCCATAATGAGAAAGATTTGCAACTGATATAATTATAAATGTAGTTATAAATTTGTTTGCTATTAATTAAATTTTAATCTAGATCTCCCGCTGTTCTGAGTATTGTAAACAACATAGACAAACGAGGTTCGCCACCCGTCACGTTCTGTCTCCTAGAGAGGCGAAAAGTGGATTGCAGAGGCCCGTCTGGCTACGTTAGAATGTATGTGGGGCAATGAATGATAAAATGAATGAAGTATGCGATATGATGTGTGATAGAGGAATAGATGTATTATGTGTAAATGAGACGAAAAGGAAGGGGAAGGATGTTACTGCACATGGCATGTATACCGCATACTGGTCTGGTGTAAACGAGATCGAGCGGGCATGCCAGGGAGTAGGTATCATTCTTTCAGAAAGAATGGGCCAATGTGTGAAAGAGTGTGAATGTGTAAGCCCAAGACTGCTATGGATACGAATGAAAATAGGCTTAAAGAAGTTGTTTGTGTTAGGGTACTACGCCCCAGACATGTCTAAGCCCACTTATATCCGGGAGCAGTTTTGGGAAATGGTAAGGATGGTGTTAATGAAGTGTAAAGGAAATGAAAATATTATTATGCTAGGAGATTTTAATTTAAGGGTTGGGGTGAGGAGGCTTGGTTATGAAAGTATATTGGGAACGTTTGGTGATGAAAGTATAAATGAGAATGGTGAAAGCCTCCTCACCGTATGTTTGGAAAGGAATCTTTTTGTGACGAACAATTTCTTTCGTCATAAAAAGATTCACATGTATACTTGGGAAAGAGGTGATGATAGAAGCATAATAGATTTCATAGCTGTGGATGAAAGAATGAGGAGCGCAGTGGTGGATACAAGGGTTTACCGGGGGTCCAACGTAGGGACGGACCACTACCTGGTCTTATGCCGAATTAGGGGTTTATTCGGACGTTGGCGGTATAGGACATCTGTGTCTACCACTGCGTTACAGCGTATAAGAATTGAGAGGTTACAAGATGAAGATGTGAAAGACAAGTACAAATGCAGACTGAGAAAATATAAGTAATTTGGATGAGTTGTGTGTGAATGAGTTGGACTTGGAGAATGTGTGGCATAATGTTAAGAAAGGTTTATTGGATGCAGCTACCGAAGTATGTGGTGTTAGTAAGAAAACGAATGAAAGGAAAGACAATACGTTATGTTGGGATGATGAGGTACGTATGGAAGTTGAAGCAAAGAAGAGAGCATGGCTAGATTTACTAGCGACCAAAGCTGGTAATTCTGGCGGTAAGAATGATGAGAATGAAAGAAAAAAGGCGGAGTTTAAACGTTTAAATAAGAGAGTAAAAGAATTAGTTAAAAGGAAAAAGCAAGAAAGAACGGATAAGAATGATAGAAGAATATCGGATAACTTTCAGGCAAATATTAAAATGTTCTGGAAACTCGTAAGAAATACCAGGGGACTTTCAAAACAGCCTAGATTGAATGCGATACGAGACGAGAATGGCTGTATCCTGAATGATGAAGTGTTGAGTCTAAAGAGATGGAAGGAATATTTTGAAAGCGTATTTATGAGTGAGGAGAAGTGTGAACTAAATGAAATAGAAATTCCGAAAGAAGATGAAAGAGATAGGGAGATAAGTATAGATGAAATAATGAAAGCAATGAAAAGCATGAAAGTAGGTAAGGCAGCCGGATATGATAGAGTTTCACTCGAAATGCTAAGGGCTGGAGAGGACGTGATGGCAGGCCTTCTGTACACCTTGTTTAATTTATGTTGGGAACTAAAGCGGGTACCGGGAGACTGGTGCAAAGCCGTGATAGTCCCAATATATAAGGGAAAAGGGTCACAGTAGGACTGTAAAAACTACCGTGGTATCAGCCTTCTTAGCATTGTGGGAAAACTGTATGCTAAGGTACTAATTGAAAGAGTTATGAAAGAAAGTGATGAAAAAATTTGGGATGTGTAAGCGGGATTTAGAAAGGGAATGGGGTGTACAGATCAAGTCTTTTTCATGCGCATGATCGCGGAGAAGTTTTTGGCGAAAAACCAAAAAGTTTTTTGTGCGTTCATGGACTTGGAAAAGGCTTATGACAGAGTGGACAGGGATGTGTTATGGCAAACGCTGAACGCATTTAGGTTGAGCGCTGGTTTGATACAGGCATTAAAGTCTCTGTATAGGGACTCGAGTGCTTGTGTTAGAATCAACGGGGTCTACTCGGACTGGTTTGGCATCCATAAAGGTGTCAGACAGGGTTGTGTAGCTTCCCCGTGGCTGTTCAACCTATTTATGGACAGCTGTTTGGAAAATTTGAAAGTTGAAGAATGCGGGTTAAGAATGGGTGAGTTAACCATCAAATGCCTTTTGTGCGCCGATGATCAAGTTATTCTTGCGTCGTCGGCGGCCGAGTTGCAAATGAGGGTACATTAATGAACAGGTCATTAAAAGAAAGGGGAATGAAAGTAAACGCAAGTAAGACGAAAGTGATGGTTTTTGAAAGAGATGAAAGCAAAACGGTATGTGAAATAAGAATAGAAGGAGAGTTAATTGAGCAAGTGGATGAGTTTGTGTATTTGGGATGTGTATTCAGCAGGGATGGGAGATATGATAAGGATATTGAACGACGAGTGAATGCAGGAAATAAAGTAAATGGGGCTCTACACTCTATTGTGAAAAAATGTGTCAAAAAAGGCACGTATGGCAATTCACAGTGCTGTATTAGTCCCTACTTTAACGTGTGGTAGTGAAAGTTGGGTGTGGCAGAAGAAGCATGAGAGTAGAATAAATGCAGTAGAAATGCGGTCGCTAAGGAGTATGTTAGGGCTGAATCTGAGTGACAGGGTGAGAAACTGAGTGATAAAGGAAGAGTGTGGTTTGCAAGATGATGCGGTGACCAGAATTAAGAAAGGAATGCTTCGGTGGTTGACTCGCACAAATTTATATCCCACTTAATATTGACTTTGACGGCTCCGTGGCGCAGTGGCTTAGCAATGAGTTACAGCGCTAAGGGCCGCGGGTTCGAATCCCGCACGGAACAAGTATCTGTATGGCCTACAAGTAATTGTTCCGGGTCTGGATGTTTGTCCTTGTGAAATTTATGTTTGTAAACTGCCCCCACGATACAGGGGAAAATCCTAGCGCGGAAATAACGTTTACTAAAAAAGAAAGAAAAAAAAGAATATCAGGTAAGTAACAGTGTACTCGTTTATCACCCTTATTCTATATTTAAAAAAACATTACCTACCTCCGGCTATGTGGTGTTACCACGTATTCACGAGATTATTTTTGAAAGATCCAAATCTTACATTTAAGTTCAAATATATTTATAAACAATGATATACCATTATTATTATTATTATTTTATTATTGCAGTATTTGAAAATGCGAGTAAATGAGGCTTGTACTTTTATTTGAAATTTTCCCAAGTTGAATGTGATTTATGGACAGCAACTACCCGTACTCGCGCTCCTTCGTGCACGATTCAATTCACAAAGTTTTTGCCTACTGTTTACTTTCTTAGTGATACTACTTATAAGGTCACCTGGGGCAAGTGTGACATAATTAAAACTATAATCGACATTTAAATACTTCTACTCTGTAAGGATTTAATATAGAAAATTCTGTTTCATAACATCAAATGGTTGTATGTTTGATCAAGCATTTTAGTATCTACAGTAGCATTTTATAATTTGAGGTAATTAAAACTAATTGAGGTGGAAGACTGTCACACTTACCCATCAATGGGGAAATTGTAACAGTACGCTTCTTTTTGTAGTTATTTTATTATATATTTTATGATCTATGGAAACGATTTGAACGTCCATTTTTGTGTAACAATGAATTTTCCCCAACATGGGGCAAGTGTGACTGTTTTTAACCGATATAGTGGTGTGCCTTTAAATAGATTTACTACACTAGCTCTGGATGTTTTGTAAGTATAATAAAAGCAATGCCAAGTGCAAAATAAAATTTAATTCAGAACGTTAACAATTTATAAAAATATAATCATAATAAACGTGACACTGTCACATTTACCCCGATGTTAGGTATTAGGTGAGGTAAGTGTAACTGTATCCGTATTTCAAAGAATAGTGAATTTCAGATCGCAGAAACATATTAATCTATAAGTACCAATATTATTCTTTATCACTCACCTTGTATCTGGTTTAAAATAACTTAACGACATATCGAAACAATAACTTCACCTCTTAAAATTTCGCTGCCTATCACCAGTTGAGTAGTTTTTAAAAATAACGTCTGTTGATAAAATAGTTCAAGCTACGTACTTAACTGTCAGTTTAGTCGATAGCGTAAAATTTCCTGTGTTGTTTAATAGATGGAATTAAACTAAAAACCGTGTTTAGGTCGCATAATTTGCATTTGTTACACTTGCCACACCGTCACACTTGCCTCGGGTGACCCCACTTAAGTTAATAACTACACGACGCGAATTATGATGCCAACTTTCCCTTCACAGTTTTAACGGACTTAGGATGAATACATAGGTAATAAAATTAAAATAAAAAACGATTTAGAACTAAATTACGCAAGCATTCTCCAATAACTAAGGTTTATATTCGTTAGACCCGACAACAATCTTTTGAGAAAATAAATGACTAACCGTGATTGAGGATCACAGAATCTGTGTTGAGGATAGAATGTAAGTATGGGCCACAGCACTCTATTTCCAACAGTTGAACAGTGTACTTGTGTTATGCAGTGTGAGTAGCAGTTAGGTACAATCAGCACCAGGCGATGCGGTAGTCACGGTCACGAGCTTACCGGTGATGTTTCCTCAGTCCCTCCAGGGCCGAATGCGGCACGTCTTCGGGCAGGTCGTCGATGTCCAGCTCGGGCGGGTCGGGCGGCGTCACGCAGCCCAGGTACTGGCGGTGCGTGCCCCCCGCCCCCGCCACCGCACCAGCCACTCCCCCCACCGGGCTCTGCTCTCCATCGCGCGACTGCGACTCCTGCGCACCGGAAACCCCGCTTGTTAGGCCAAGGTTGGACAACAATATCGTATTTAAGCATTGAAGTACATGTTCCACGTATTAGAAGAGACGTCCAGACTTGGTTGTTTGCAGCACGCGTTAGAGCCCGCGGGCAAAAACTTCTACTTAATACGTGCCACTAAAAGATACTCTTGTGATACACAGAATTTGTTTGCGGTGTCTGTTCTAGTATGTAGTAAATATTACTTAAATTTGTTTAAGACACGATTTCGACGCTTGAAAATTGATACCTCTTGAAATACATTAATCGACATTAAAAAAAATATCGCCAGGAAAAAAATGACGTTCTAGTCCTCGTTTTTTTTTTTGGATTAACCAGATGATATATATATTCGATAACATAAAATATAATGTTAATAATAAATAAAATTATTAATCGGCTTCATTTCTATTTAGCGTTAAGAAATCACTAAAAGCCTTTTGAAAATATAGGGGAATTAGTTTCTTTATCTTCTGGACTGGAAAGGATACGGTATTAACATCAATGGCGAGTACATCGCTCACCTTCGATTTGCCGACGATATAGTCCTTATTGCAGAATCGCTGGAGGACTTAAGCACTATGCTCAATGACCTCAATAGTGCCTCCCAACGGATAATAGATCTTAAGATGAACATGGACAAAACAAAGATCATGTTTAATGTCCATGTCACACCTATGCCGGTAGCTGTTGGGAGCACTATGCTCGAAGTTGTTGACGAGTACGTTTACCTGGGACAAATAGTCCGACTAGGTAAGTGCAACTTCGACCGAGAGGTCAATCGACGGATTCAACTCGACTGGGCAGCGTTCGGGAAATTACAACACATCTTCTCGTCAGGTATACCTCAAAACCTGAAAACTAAGTTGTACAACCAGTGCGTGTTGCCAGTGATGACATATGGAACTGAGACGTGGTCCTTCACTGCTGGCCGTATGAGGACGCTCAAAGTCACTCAGCGAGCTATGGAGAGGGCTACGCTGAGAGATTCTCAGCATGATAAACTTAGAAATGAGGATATCCGCAGTAGAACCAGAGTGGCCATGGGCCAGGTGGTAATGGGCCGGCCATATAGCTCGAAGAACCAACAACCGTTGGGGAAAAAGGGTTCTCGAGTGGCAGCCTCGTATCGGTAGGCGACGTGTAGGTCGACCCCCCACTAGATGGAGTGACGACCTGGTAAGACATGCAGGAAGTCGATGGATGCAGGTGGCTCATGACCGTGCTTTGTGGTATACCTTGGCGGAGGCCTATGTTCAGCAGTGGCTGTAATGAATGAATGAGTTTCTTTATATTCTACATACATTGAGTGAAAGTAGCTTAATGTTCAAAGGTTAAAATCGACAATTTTACCACTGTCGTTAAAACCTACAGGCCACGTACGGGCGGCAATCCGTATGTATTATGTGACTGATGCCATTAGGCGACTTGCACTAAAACATTTACAAAAAAGCCACCAATCCTTAAGCCGCTGCCGTTGGTGTAGAGCCATATTAGATAGGCTTATACACAATTTTTTTATCAAAAAAAATCAATTAGTCAGTTTCAGATGATATAAAAGTAGATTTTATGCAGGTATATAAAAGTTATCATATCAGTCATTTTTTTAACTCTTAAACGGTCTTGTGCAGTAAACACTTTATTATATAATAGTTGTCTGATGCACGTGTCTCGAATTAGACCAGTTGCAGCGGATCAGTAACGCGAGAGAGACCCGACGTCAATACTGAAAGCGGCAGTGACGTTCATGCCCCGTGATCACATGGTCAAAATGGTTTCTACGAAACCATCAGAGATATTAAACACAACTTGTGCGTGTCAGTGCGGCAAGAGTGTTACCTGCGCGTCGCCGAGTTCGGGCTTGGGCGAGGCGTTAGCGGGCTCGGCCACGCCGGGCTTGGCACGGATCCCGTAGTAGTGGTACTTGGAGTTGCCTCTGGTGCCAAGCCGGCGTGTGCGCAGCCCGACGAACACGGAGCGGATCAGCTTGCCGAACGACGCCGCGTTCACCGGCTCGAGCCGATGCGCCGCGCAGTGCCGCAAGTAATGCGCGTACAAAGTAGACCGCGGCAGAGACACGCCTGCAACAAATTCCACTTCCAATGGGGGCTAATAATCTACCGCTCACCATATGTCGCTTGTTGGGACCGAGGTAAAACTTAATTACACAATGACATTTAACTATGAAGGTAGTTAGTTTTAAATAAAAGTTTTTCAATTTCTAGAGTACTACTATATTAATGCACAAAGCAATGCGTCAATGGTTTGGTCCAAAATGATTTTGACATTTTAACTATTCCTTTCAATTTTTCTACTTCAAACAGGCCTCTGTCACTGTTGCTACCTACGTGAAATAATTACCTACAATCGCGAGGCATCCCGCGTTACACACGCAGTTGGAGCACATGAGTGGTTAAACGGAACAGAGATAAAGCTTCATACAAACGCGAGAATCGGTTGCACAACTCAACACAAGCACGCGGGGCATGTGTGCGTGACCACTGGCAGTTTGTCGCGTATGAGTAGGTGGGCAAGACTGGAAAAAATCCAGTTAAGCTGGCACAGCCAGTGGACAATTTTAGGGTCAGTTGTTTGTTTTGTTAGATGCAAATTTGATTATTTTACGTGGTGTTATTAATAATGGTTGTTTATTGTACTGTGTGTATGAATAAAAATAGAAAAAATAAAAATATATCATACTTTGACTATCCCAAGGAGTACAGCAGGTAAGTAAATATTTCATTATTACTTTTTCAAGTAAGTACCTTTATTTTACTGTATGATAATTTTTAAGCTATTGCATAGCTTCTATCGCGCGCCTTGAGCGCGGGGACCGAATCCAGAAATTCCGTAACGAAAAAAACCTCGCGCTCCCCACTCCGACGGGCACGGAGGTGTGGCGTTGAAAGCCCTACATCGTCTAACGTCGTTTCAGTTCGGCAGACTTCGGCACTCGGCAGACTTCGGCACGGTGTTTGTGTGCGTGCGACTAGACGTATGCGTGTACACTAGCTGCTCACTCAATGATAAAAATTCCTGAATAACCTACATGTATTGTAAGATATTAAAAATATTTTAAACAATATTAATACCGTAACTTTAGTGACATTGCAATTATATGATAGATATAACCTGGTGCAGTAGCCAGGACTGCCTCGTCACTAGGAAACTCTTCAAAAGGTCACAAAGTTTTGTATGTTAGTTTAATTTTGATAGATTAACACGATTTTCATCACGAACTGCTACTGCAGCTAGTATTGTCTCCTTACGATGGTACTCTTTAACCGTTAGTTAGAGAAATATCTAAAGTAATATCTAGTAAGTACCTTTTTTTCTCTTTATTTGGATCTCCAACAGATGATACACAATACTAACAAAAATATAATTCAACACGGCGACTACATGCTACGTGTTCATCTTCTTACAGGTAACCACAACTTACATAAAAAGCCAAGTGATCTTTTTTAAAGATAAGGAAACAGATAATAATAATAAGCTAATAAGTATACATAAATAAACAGACTTTATTACAAAACTTAGTTAAAATTTATTTCACTATCCAAGTACCTACTTACATATCTATACTTGTTTTTTGACCCCTTGGAAGAGTGACAACGTTGCACGCGGGTGGCACGCCGACAAAAGACACCGCTGTCGATATGTCGCAATACCAAAAGTTTGCACTGCGTGGCAACGTCGCTTTTTAATGTTCAAGGATTCAAGTTCATTGAATCATTGACTTAGTGACCCAATTCTATAGAGTGTTCAAATTTGCTTAAAATTAAAACTCTGCTTTTTGACCTAATTACTGGACCGATTACGTTCATTTTTTGTATATCGTCAGCAAAGGCGATAACAAGTATATGGTTTCATTTATTGCATATATGTGGGACCATTCTGTATATGTAATAATATAGAACAAACATTTTTTTGTTTTATTTTTAAATTTCCTTCAAAACTACTCAATAGTATAAGATGAAAAAGGTTACGTTCGGTGTCAACATAAAAGAAAGAATTGTTAGTATTTGTATTACTTTATTCGACTTGTGACTTTGACTTATAAAACTAAGTTTGACATTACATACCTACCATAAGCTTAATAAATTAAAAACATCATAAGTACATTTAATGAAGGTAAACGCAATAAAAAGTAAACGAACTAATTTGTAAAAGTATATGGAAGAATCCCAAATATTTCATGCAATGGCGGACCCTCAAAGTGCTTTATTTGTCAGAGTTCCCTTTGCCATTCAAATGTATAAACTCTATTATAGAATTCGAGTTCGAAATAATAATGCCGTCAGAGTTTGCGAAGTTTGTGAGAAGCCAACCATGTGCTATTCATTTTGATTACGTAATATTAGGTTAAATAACATATTTTATAAGAAGAAATGTTATATTACTACAAAAAACATTTATAATGAAATATGTGGAATTGTGCAAAAGTTTAATTTAACAAGAAGCCGAAAAATGAGGTTCCCACATATAAATAAATGTTATTAGATTTAGATTATTTTAGTATTATTAAGGAAGAATGCGAGTAACCCGGCTTCGATCTCCGCCGGCACCAATAAAATTGTTAATTGCAATTTTAAGTGCTGATTTACCACGCGCTCGGCGGTGAAGGGAAACATCGTGAGGAAACCTGCATGTTGAGGTTGCATGCATGAGGAATAAGAGAAAAAAAATATTTCGAAGACATGTGAAGTTCGCCAACACGCATTGGGGCAGCGCGGCGGACACTTCCTTGCCCTAAAACCCTCTCAGAAATGAGTGGAGGCTTGTGCCCAGCAGTGGGACGTATATAGACTGTAACTTAACTTTTAACTTACTTAAGGAAGATAGACTGCCTTCGCGTTGCTCGAATGCAAAATATTTTCTTTATCTTATTGCACAGTAACACAGCTAAATCGATCGATCAAATATGGATTGAAATAAATTTCAATCTAGTGCCCACCCAGCCCCTTATCAGTCTGTTTTAACTTAATACTATATACGTATTTCTTATCATAATGAATGTTAAGTCAAGACTTATTCCATTATTTTTACAAGAAAAAGTAAAAAAAGTTTTCTCTCATCTACACTACTACAATGGAATAATTTCCTGAATCATCTCCCGAACGTGTGGTATTGCTGTGTTTTGCGATAATGTAATATTCCGCAAGCAGAAAGCTTATGATTAGAAACGAAGCAATCATTTTGATAGAAAAATATTCCTAGTTTTATTTTTCCCCCAAAAGAGTAGCATCGTTGTAAAAATATAAAAACTACAAGACCAAATAAAATATTTTCATATTACAGACAAATCAAAATTTTCACAATAATTTTTTAACTTTGATTTTCTCGTAGTCGTCGTCAGGCACTACGGTTTTGGTATTAAAAAATTGCTCTAGACTGAATTAGGGAGGGTAAAATGAGTTGAAGCCCAAGGACCTCCATAAGATCAAAAATTATAAAATCAAAAAAGCCTCAAAATCAAAAACTATTGGCATACTGTAAAATACTTTATATACATATTTGGTGATGGTCTTGTTTACAAAGAAAAAATCGGAGACTCCATTTCTTGTTTTGCCTAAGACCTCAACGTATTTAATCTATTATTCTTTAAGCGCAATATACCTAAGTATGTTAAAGTCTGACATAGCTCTCAACAGTCTCTTAGATTTTTATGATGTCACGCTAAACACAAGAAACAACCTAGTTAAGTTTTTAGGGCTATCTAAATATATCTTCCGCCAAGCAGCAGTGGATGCAGTCCTGTGTTTTGATTTGCAGGGTAAGAGAACCAGTATTTACAGGCAGTGAGATCTTCAGATGTAACAATATATCTGTAGCCTTCTTTGTTGGTAGTCGAAAGCAGGTGCTCACACACCGCAGTAGCAAAGGGGAAAAGTTGAACATGGTCCTTCGAGCCAGATATCAGTGGGCATATTTAAAATTAAAAATGAAACAAAGCGCAGACTTACCCTCGGCGGTCTCGTAGTGATCGAGCAGCCACTGCACGGTGGCGGGTGGCATGCGGTGCGCGGGCGCGGGTGAGGCAGGTGCGTCGGGCTCGGCCGCCCCACCCACCCCCGCGCCTGCAACTCCGCCCGCCCCCGCCTCCGCCCCGAACGTGAACTCGCCCGCCCACGCGCCCTCCGCCGCGCCCTCCACGCCCACGCCCACACTTGCGCCCACCGCGCCGTTGCCCACGCTCGCCACGCCGTACACCGGGTACGACCGTAGCGGATCCCTGGCGGCATCTTACAACATTACATCTGGAGCAAATGCGTTTTGAATGCCTACTCTAGTTAAATGATAAGCTACTTATGGTTTAGTTGGCAGTTGGTACTGTGATGTATTTATGGTATTATTAAAAATAGAAACAGCTCAATGAAACTAATGTGCATAAACACAGACAAAAGTAACATCAAGTTTCTCCGTAAAGCAGCGACGCAAATAATTGCTCTATACCATCCTGTTCTAAAAGAATGTGTTTTTTTTTTTATTGATGACAATAGAACCTTCTTTTTCAAAAAAGACGTGACTGAAACCAACGTTGAAATTAGCGCCAAAGATGAGGTGTTCCATCTCTGATACAGCGATCGCCAATTCACGATCGCGAAGGCGCGTGAATTGGATGAGCGTAAAATAGCAGCTTAAGGTGGCCCTAGTCGATGGCACGAACTCAATGGTGGGCGGGGTTAAAATGCATGCTATCTCAGCCGACATTACGTGCGAAAGCGAAGAGCATGATGATTTACAACAAAACGAGCACGCGAAATTTTGTAAACAGACCTTTAGGAATCTGGATATCATGAAAAATGTATTGAATGTATCTGTTCAAAATAAAATTATTTGCATTTTTGAATACCTAATCTATCCCTGTATGGTAACTGTTTTGCAATTTTCGTTCTTCTTATGGTATTTATTTCCGCCCAAAGATGTGTTTAAATAAGTACTTTTAAATATATTCTTTTTTTTACTTTTTTGTTTAGGGCTAGATAATGATGAGACAAATTAAAATCATTTTTATTTTGAACGTACACCATCAAACAGTGGATCTCCAGACTACGTTTGTGTGACTAGTGTACCTTTAAAGCTTTTGTAGATAACCGGAAAACGAGGTATTCCATCTTAGTTCTCGTGGGTGAAAACGCATTTTCTTTCTTAATTGATAATAGATTTAGATGTCTATGGGTCACAGCATCCACTTACAATCAGGTGGACTGTGTGCTTGTTTGTCAAACCTATTCTTTAAAAAAACACGAGGCACGTTATCTTTAATTCTTAGTTATAACAACGCAGTATGTGGTGATTGTAATAATATAATTAGAAGTGAGTGTGTATGCGATTCGGTTTGGTCACACTATCAGTTCCTTTGTCGACTAATTTTAATTAATTTTTTTAAGCTTCACATTCGATTTCAGTGGACACTTAATTGACACACAGAAATATCCTTTTAAAAACAAAAGGATTAAATACTATAGACCGTAAATGGTGAGTGTTAAAATTGGGACTTTCAAATAAGTTGCAAATAGAAAATTAAAAATGTTATCTCCTTGTTGAGTATATCATCATCATCATAAAAAAAATTAAGGCGAGGAGCTAATAATTAACTATCTTTACCAAAATACCGTCCCCTAAAATCTGCCGCATTTTCAACCTTAAAAACCCTCATGCTACGCTACTAGTTTACATGCAGTTATTATTGTAAACAAATATAGTGTTTTATTGTCGAAATAAAAGCGGTTCTTACATATGAGTCTGGTGGGTCTGCGTATAAATCTCCTGCGGCTCGACGTACTGTACGTGATAGTTGACTCCATTGCCTCCCTCACCTGCCAAGTAAAAATAAGTATTAAATAAAATCATAATAATAATATTTTAATGGAAAAACTGTTAGGAAAATTTAAGTTTAAGACAAAATAACAAAAAAAATAACAAAACATCTAATTTTATGGATGAAATCCACGATTCATTGAAAACCCATTTAATAACGGAAAACAAAGATTTAAAACCATTTCTAGAAGAAATGTAATAAGCCACCGTCCATTTAATTTTTTCTTCTTCTTTTGCGACAGAACAATGTTTGATGATACATTAAAAATTTACGGTAAACGGGAGCAAATGTCTTGGATGATATTAGTTCTTTTAAAAGATAAATAATGCAATCTTGGCGTTATCTTATATAGATGCCTAGATTAATAGTCCAAAAACAAAACAAGACACTAGTCGGCGGTCTAGCTACGCTTCAGAGTAATGGCGAAATTAATTACTTAACAATTGTAAGTTACGCCAATACAGATTGACTTGAAACAATACTTCGGGTTTTCTGTCTGGATAGACCAGATCGAAGCCGGGACTGAAGCAGGGGGGCAGAACTTACATGGGAAATAGGATCGGTAGCGAGGCACCTCCATACCGACGGAGATCTCCCGGGCAACTCGCCTCCGGACGCTAGAATCCCTCCCCTTTGCTCTGTACCGCGCCCCTCTACCGCCTATAAGACCCTGTTACCTCACCCCACCTGTTAGCTATTGTCACAACTTCGCAATATAACAAACACACCCCTCGTTTTATATACAATTACGCTAAAGTCCTTTGTTATACTTCTTAGTACATAGGCATAATTTTCATAGAAATATATATAGAAATATATATACCTTGCAACTTTGATAAAAATGGTTATATATTTCAAATAGACTTCTTCGTACTATTAAAATAAAAGTTAAGCAGTAAATCAACACTAACAGCTGGTATCAGTCTTGAGCGTAATGTTATTTCATAATTGGATTATTTTTTAAATAAACATAATTCAATCGTATTGCGATGAATATCACATGCAACGACGGTGAAAACAAAGGTAATATTTCAAAGAAACAGCAAAATTTTATGAATTTTGCTGTTCCTTAGGAGATGTGTTACATATTACGCTTTTATATTAAAACTGTTAATATAGATACATAAGAACTGGTAAAATAAATGACATAATATTTCTTGGTCTAAACGAAGTGTGTCTACTACTATGTTATAATCATTACCTATAGACTATATTCTAAGATATATTTTCTATAGCTATATTACTGCCTAGTTTTTAAAAGATATTCGAGCAGTCAGGCGAAGAAAAGTCATATTTTCTTTAGCATATGAGTGAACAAAACGTAGATAAAACATTTTTTATCTATTACAAGATTCATAGCAAATGTTAAAAAGAATTAACTACTTATTTACGTTAAGAAACATATTATCTTAGCGGGTTTGTTATTTTTTATTTTAAACGTGGTAGAGCCATGCTACAGCTATATTATAGTTGTAGCACGAATGGGTCGGCTCGACCGAAGAAGGACCACGCTCTCACAGAGTACCAGCGTAAAATAGCACAGCTCAATGCTGCTGTGTTTCGTATGGTGAGTGTAGAGAACCCTATTTACCGGAAACGAGACATTCCATCTTATTCCTCAGGGGTGACAACGCAGCTGCATTGTGATTCTTAATGGAGGTTAAATGTAGATGTCTATGGGCCAGAGCACCCACTTACCATCAGGTGGACTGTGTGCTCGTTTGTCAACCTTATTCCATAAAAAAATGTAAATAACAAAACTCCACGGCTAAATATGATAATGAAATACCTACATCTATCCTCGGTTAAGATTCAAAATGCAGACGCATTGTCACCTTTAAGGGTGATGGAATATCTCGTTACCAGTAAATTTAGTATTTGTTTCTCATCACCCACCATACGAGAAGCAAACCTGTCATGATGCCTTTTAATGCTAATATTCTGAGCTAGAGTAGTCCTTACATAGCATCGTGGCTTTTCTCACGTCCATCCATCCATTTCAGCCTATGATGTCCACTGCTGAACATAGGCTTCCCTCATAGATTGCATCACACTTGTGGGAGGGTTGGCTGCCCCATTTTTTTATAATTTTAAGCTATCAGGAAGATGCCGCTGCCCATTTTATGTTTCAGTTTCTCACTGTCGCCTCTTACAGCATCACTACTACTACACACAGTCACTACGTAAATCGGTTATCTAGTACCTAGATAACCGATTTACATTCTGAAATAGTTTTTTTTTTTATTTTTATTATTTATTTATTTTATTTGGAAACTTACAACGTTTTTTTTTTTAATATAAAATAAGGGGTGACAAACGAACGCACAATCCACCTAATGGTAAGTGGATGCTGTGGCGCATAGACATCTACATTTAACCTCGATTAAGAATCAAAATGGAGATGCGTTGTCACCGCTGAGGATTAAGATGGAATGCCTCGATTTCAGTAAAACGGATCTCCGGTTCTCTACACTCACCATACGAAACACAGCAGCATTAAGCTGCTATGTTACGTTGGTATTCTGTGAGAGCGTGTTCCTTCCTCAGGCGAGCCGACCCATTCGTGCTTCAGGGTGGCTCTACCACGAATAAGCGTTAATTTATCATAACTAATTTGTATCCAAAACACCAAAATTTACATTGTAATACTTCGTTACCATAATTATCGCTATTTAAGGGCAATAACAACAACATTTTTCAGCTCGGGTGAGAAACTAAGCCAAAAAAATAATATTCAGGGAATCACATCTAATTTAGATATATGCTGAAGGAAAAAGTCGTAAAATGTCATCCAGTTTATGAATTTTGATACTCTGAAAACTAAAGTTTTGTCTGTTTCTAAATTAGTAGAGCTGAACGAAAAACAGCAGCATGCAGCTGCTAATTTACGCCGATATTCTGTGAGATTGTGGTCCTTCCCCGGTCGAACCGACCCATTCGCGCTACAACCATAATATAGCTACAATATGGCTCTACCACGTACAAAACTTTTCTTTAACGTCTTGAATCATAATTAATATCATCATATATTATTTCTAAATTCTAGATGTTTCACAAATCGTTGTTAAATAGATAGCCTCTAGGTTTAAATATTGTGATTTAAGTAATATTAAGTGGAAATAATTTTATCCTTTTTAGAAGACGATGTTTACTTTTTCAAAGTTTAATTAAGTTATTTAATGACGTCACTATAGTTATATTAAAAATTTCATCCCCTATTTTTCCACTTTTAAGGGTAGAATTTTATGTTTAAATTTAAATGGAATCACCCTTGAGTGATCACCATTTAATATAAAACAAACATTCAGAATCGTTTCAGAATGAGCGAAGATATAGCTTTACGTTGCTGAAATCCCTTATAAAAAGAATTTTGCTAAGATCTACTTAAATAAATAAACAAAAATGATATGATGTGACTTATATTAGTATGTATTTACTTAGAGGTCAACAATCGCCAAGTCTTTTTCACCTGATGATATCTCAGTTAGAGACGAAACACGTGTCTTGTTACCGACGGTGATGTGTCTTGCCCAGTGTTGGCAATAGTGGTATCGGGATAAATGCTGACGGGGATAGTGCGCCCAAATGAGGGAGGGCGAGAGGTGCTCGTCAAACTAGGTAAGACACATCGTTTTATTTTATTTATTTACGCAGATTTATTTACAGTCGAATTAAGAACCTTTTCCCTTTTCGAAAACGGTTGAAAATAAAAATTTATTCAAAATTTAATTTGAATATTGATATAAGATATGAAATAGTCAAACCCATCGCGTTAATTTAGACTACAATTTAGGCTACTGTTAAACAACATCATCATCGCGTCTCATAGTAAATTCTCAGCTGAACATATTCCAAACAGTAGCCCTCACCAGCTCGTCACGTAGACGGTCGTATTTTCATGTTGTCGTATTCAATATGAAACTGCTACTTTTTAGAAGATTCTACGAGGTTCGAAACCACTCTACCTAAATGGTCATTTGAACTAAGACCGAAGGCAGTTTAGGAAAAGTAGTTCTCCCTTCAAATTCAAATTAATTTATTCTTTAGAGTTTAATGGGTTACAGTAGATCATAATAATAGCTCATGTCAATTCGATTTAATTCGAATTAATGAATTTTTATCTCTTGACTCGTAGATATTTTTTATAGGATAAGGTCGACAAGCGAGCACACAGTCCAACTGATGGTAAGTGGTTGCTGTGGCCCATAGGCATCTACATCTATCCTCGTTTGCGAATCAAAATGCATGAATGGGTCGGCTCGACCGGGGAGGGACCACGCTCTCACAGAATACCAGCGTCAAATAGTAGCTTAATGCTGCTGTGTTTCGTATGGTGAGTGTAGGGAACCGGAGACGTTTTTTACTGAAAAAGAGACATTTCATCTTAGTCCTCAGGGTTGACAACGCACCTGCATTTTGATTCTTAATTGAGGATAGATGCAGATGTCTACGGGCCACAGCATCCATGTACATCAGGTGGGCTGTGAGCTCGCATGTCACCCTCATTCTATAAACAATATCCAAATCCTAATCCCACAGACTAGTGAGTAAATGCTAGCGATACGATGTAAAATAAATTGTATGTTACAAACAAAACGTTTTATTTTTATTTTATATTACGATATATTAAATTATTAATAAAATTACGATCTTTTTACACAAAATTTTCTACGTATGTAAACTATATTTTGGCAACTCTCCTTTAGAAACATTTCATTGTAAAATATTTCATTGATTGTACCTAAAATTAATATTACGTTAGCTGCATAAAACATTATTTAACCATAACTTTGAATCTTTATGTAATACTCTTAAATACATTCGGTCTTTCTTTGTTGAGAAATTTACTGCATAATTCCTTATTATAAAAAATATAGCGCTTCAGTTTACATAAAGTTATGTTCATATTAAATTCAACATTATTTACTCCTAAGCCATTATAGGAGACATAGTAATAAGCACTCAAGGCCCTCAGACATCTGATTTATAACGGACTCGGAATAAAATCAATGTTACTGCACACCCACATACACATACACGCACGCACACACACACACAGATCAATCGCATTATATACTTGCCTAACTTGGCAATATATACACAACACAAAAACGGTCCGTGCAATAAACCAGACGGCACGTGTCATATCAAAGGTACGCAGCGCAGGTGGACTATCGTATATCACAATGAATATCTTTCGTCCCCTTACAATGCACCATTTAGGCGCATCCACCTGAATAATCCGATGGGGCATGAACAATTATCTTGTACTATTAAGTTTTTTTTTCATTGTAATACACGACTGATACGTCGCATGGATTTTAAACCTAATTAACAAGACCAAAGGTGTACTTTGTAGCATCATATCCGTATCGTTTTAACAGGTGGGAGATAATCAGAGATATGAGACGTCAAGGGGTGAGATTTTTGATGTATTTTTGTAATTGAACTATCTGTGAAGGGCTTCTGGAGGAGCTGAGCCTCTATTTGTAATGTAATACTTCTTAATAATGAGCACGATTAGTCTCCCTCATTGAGATAGTAAAGACGGTGCGCTCTCACAGTTTACCTTTGATTTAAAAACTGAAATTTTCAGCAAATACGAACTTTTTTGTCAACAAACAAAAATTCTACAAATATAAGCTCCAAAACTGGTGAATAACGGTTCAATTTAGCGGTAAACGCTAAGTAAAAGTGGTAATATTCTGATAGTCATAAAATTAGTAAACAGAGACGTATTAAAAAATAAATAAATTATTTATCGATAAAAACAATTGCAAATGGTAGTTCATAATCATAAGGCTTGACTTATATAATACGCGAGCAAACAGAGTTCGTTATTCGCCGGCTTCACCAAAATTTAATTGCAATTTCAAGTGCTGTTTATCAGATACTATTTTCTGTAAGTGCTGTTAGTCCATGCGGCTCACACAACTTCATCTCACTCAGGGCTCGAGCTGATTAAAAATGGAAAGATCCAATGAAGATGAGGATAATGATGATGGTTTATGATTTGGTATTGTAAGAGGCGAAATGATGATTCATTTCGCCTCTTTCTTTGGTAGTTTTTGAGCTATCTAACCGCTGTCCGAGTGGGGGATACCCCCGCCTCTGACTGCTCAGCTCATGTCGTTCGATGTTCCGCCCAGGGACGCGGGTGTACGGTGTGTACACCCTGTGAAAACATCAAGAGGAAAGTTGCATGTTCTAGAAATTAAAAATATTTCACGGACAAGTGAAGTCCACAAACCGGTGTACTCTTCCTGCGTTAAAACCTTAGAAATGAAAAAAGACCTGTATCCAGAATTATGAAGGCGGTTACAAAAAGCTCTTATACGCTAAGAAGATCGTGTGGTGGCTGCATAAAACTGTCCACTGCCCTGTGTTGTGCCGTAAGTGTGGTGAGGGGCGGCAGAGGAGACCAATTAGGAGATGGAGGGCAGCACGTTTCCGGTAACAACTCAAATTTATAAAACAGTTTTTAATTCGAGTTGTTATCAGAAACATGCTGGTGTGGTGGCCAACCCGTCTGCCAAGCGTGGAAACTATGGCCAATATCCACCATATAAGGCAATGCATAGGGGAGGCCTATGTTCAGCAGATAGATACCATCTTAGTTTTCAGGGGTGACAACGCAGCTTCATTTTGATTCTTAATCGAGGACAGATGTAGATGTCTATGGGCCACAGCACGTACCATCAGGTGGGCTGTGAGCTCGCATCGCATGTCACCCTTATTCTATTAAAATATCTAAATCCTAATCCTAAGTAAGCTGTAGTGGCAACGGGCGGGCCATATAGCTCGAAGAACCGACAACCGTTGGGGAAAAAATGTTCTCGAGTGGCAGCCTCGTACCGGTAGGCGAAGTGTAGGGCGACCCCCCACTAGATGGAGTGACGACCTGGTAAGACATGCAGGAAGTCGATGGATGCAGGTGGCTCAGGACCGTGCTTTGTGGCATACCTTGGAGGAGGCCCATGTTCAGCAGTGGACTTGTGAAGGGCTGTAATGATGATGATGATGATGATGATGATGATTTTATAAGTTACTAGTGGAATTCCGGCGTGCGCTACTACGCTAAAAAATATATTTTGTTTATTTGTTAACTTTTTTATATAGTGCCTAATGCATTGTTTTCGTGGTATAACCATTGTCGCATTATTGCCTTTCTAATGAAACAGGTTCGGGCACATGGATGATTTCAAAGTCTATAACGGATGTAGGTAGAAACATATATTATGTAGATAATATTCCATAAGCGTAACTGCAATTTCTCTATGGAATGCGGAAAGGTAAAATTGAACAGTTGAGAATGTGCTTACGTTCACTTTTACGCGACCATATTGTATCCGGCGCAAGCAGCAAATACGATTATTAATTACAAGATATCTCTGTAAAGGACGTCGAGCGTGAGAACTACATCTTAACTTCATACTCTAATAAGTAATTGAAAAAAAATCAAATTTTTTGGTACAATAAAATATCGAAAGAAAACTTCAATGTTCATAACAAAGTTATTTTTCTAAAACAATACAAATCCATTATATTGCTAAACGTCAAACACATGTGAATCCTAACTGAAAAATCGATTTTACTGTCATTTTTTTTATATATTTTTTTTAAAACGTTACCTACACACTAGGATTTACTCCTGTATCGTGGTGACAGTTTGCAAACATAAATTTAATAAGGACAAACATCCAGACCCAGAACAATTACTTGTAACAATTATTTGATCCGTGCGGGATTCGAAACCGCGGCCCTTAGCGCCGTAACTCATTTTTAAGCCATTGCGCCACGGAGCCGTCATTAAATCATTTATGCAATAAAATAAATGATGTAAAAATTAATTCGGTAAAATCCGTGTGCAGAATAAAACGGTCTATTATACCAATATTTTACCTAATTTGAAGAGCAGAAGAGAGATAGAGAGAGAGAGAGAGAGAGAGAGAGGAGAGAGAGAGAGAGAGAGTGGAAGGAATAACAAAAAAACCACCTGATTCTATTAATATGTAATAAATTTTAATTGCCGCTGTTTACTGTCTGATATAACGTTTGTTTTTCTAACAATTTCATTAATTGGTTGTCCGTAAAGTCGGTTTACGGATAAACGTGACAACGTCATAACAAAGCATCGGACGCATAGGCAAATCGAGTGGAAGAGAGATTGATGCGGTGCAAGACTAACGTTCAAGCCGATCGTGCCTTTCACTCCACTCGCTCGTATATATATATATATATATATATATATATATATATATATATATATATATATATATATATATATAAAGCGAAAAACCACTAACTGAATGACTCATCACGAAATCTGACACCCGATTGATTTCAAATTTAGTATACGTCCTCATTTCGCAATGTAGACGCTTACTACGAACGGATTTTACGATAGTCCCATCAAAAAAAAAATATTTTACATCTAGGCTCCGCAATGAAATATTATCGTGCGCTGAGTATCAGCGAGTGCTAAATAAGTTTTAAAATTAGCAAAAGTGGTCTTTAACAGGTTTACTTATGCAATATTTTTTTAACAACTTTTTCTTAAATAAAACCTTAAAACCAGTAGCCGTGACTTCACCATGCTAGATAAATAAGGCGCAGTACTCACTAGCTACTGCGATGAAGGTGTGCTGGGCGTCAGTGGTGGGGCTGGAGTGACCCGAGCTGTCTCCGTTCACCTCCACCACCGTGTTTGGCACCTGAGAAAATGTTCGTTATCACAATGAAAAAACATCTTATATTATGAGAAAATATCGTTATAACAATGTTTCATTTCTGATTTCTTCCCTCCTTTGCGACTTCTTCGGTAACTTTTCGCTGTTGTTATTCATTCCTGTAATACAAGAGACACGGGAATCGAAAATCTTTTACCCTACAAAATTGTGACGGTTAAATTTAAATCAGGGACACGAAAAGATTCCATAATATTTTTTTCTATGATACGCTGGTTGTAAGTCTAAGGTATACAAAGATGCTGTTAAAGTTTCACAAACGCTCATCCTACCTGCTGTATAGCATGCTGCAGGTGTATGGAGTTCGGTAGCTCCGGGATGACAATGAGCTCCCGCACCGTAGTAGTTTCTGACGAGTTTTCAGCCCCCGTGGCGGCGCCCTACAATATAATTGCAAGTGATTAGTTCCATTGCTTTTTGAATTGACTTTTAACGTTCTGAAGTGAAAACTTCTTAGAATCGTGATTTGAAACTCGATGAAATAAAAAGAAAACAAACATATACATCTATAGGATTTAGCCTGCGAGAGAATGAGATAAAAGATAGATAATAGAGTATACAGTGTTTTACTGAAGGTTTTATTTCTACCGCTTGTGACCTGCAGACGGTTTTTTCGTCATCGGATGGAGGTCACAACTTCTTTACAAAATATCCATAATAAACTCACGCCCGTGGTGTTGTACCACTGTGCAGCTATGAACTATATCTCGTATCCGGTTGCGGCCAGCTGCATTGCGTAAGTTGTTGATCACTCATCTAAGAACCGTCCATACAACTTCTAAAAGCTTATTCTTTGTTACTTTTGCAACATATATTTTAAAAAAGAAAAAAGAAGAACCATCCTATCGACACTGCAATTTGCAGATTATGGTTCATAAAAGATAGCTTGATCTCTGCGACAGCTGTCAGTAAAATCACGCCTATGAAGTCCTGAATTTCTTAGTAGTACAGACAGTACCTGTCAATGTCATACTTTATGGGCATGCACTAATTAGGTCGGCATGCCCATAAAGTATGACATTGACAGGTACTGTCTGTACTACTAAGAAATTCAGGACTTCGTAGGCGTGATTTTATTGCAGATGGCGAAGTATCGGAAATATTTCTATATCGTGTTACTATAAGCTTTTTTATAATCTATAAGAAACACTTTTATGCTATATATATATATATATGACCTGACGCCACGCACTACCTGATACGCTATGCAGTTTTACAGTGGCGATCAAATCAAGGCTGGGATCTGCCTCAGATAGGTGCCACAGATGATGTAATAAAACAGTAGATTCCCTGAAGCAACACATCAGTGACAGTGAATGAGATTCAGCAACAACGCTGAGATCATCAGGCGAGAAGCAAACCCATCCCTAAAGGTAGTATATAATAAAGACCTCATCCTATCCCAATCCACCGACCTAAAGAGCAGAAGCGGTAACCTGCAGAACGCAACCGCAATGGAAGCATGAGTGGCACCGTACTACGTATCAGACAATGGTCAGAAGAGCCAAGAGGGACATCAACGAAGACCAGTTAACCTTCCGGATGAGTGATCAATAGAAGCCTTAACAGGAAGGTACATAAAACTACGCACGAAGGAACATCTACAATCACAAAGTAACCAGTTGTGTCAGACTATAGGTACGCCAAGGCATAGTCAGAAACAGATCTACCCACATGATCAGTTGAACCAGAACCGAGTACATTCATTATGGTGGGTGTTAAAATCGCTAAGGGTCTCGAAATCCGCGGATGGTATCTAATGTTGTATGAAGTCTGTAGCCATTCGGAGTTGGTTGATGAGTCGGTCTGTTTCGACATTACTGCTGTGTAACCTATAGATGCACCCGTAAACGCGGGGATGATCGCCGCTGTCTACGCGCAGCTAAACGATGGATAGGTCTGTACTTTCAATAATGCCGTGGCATCGAGAACAGATATCCTCCCTGACGTATAAGCAAATTTCGGCCCGAGGTATAAATTAGTATGTCTATTTGTACCCTGAAAAGGAAAGATACGAAGATTTAGACGGCGAGGACACCTGCGTCTCGGTCATATAAAGCAGTCGGTGACGATTTTGTATTTTAAATTTTGCTGGTACCCTCCTGTGTACCAACCAGCACAAATGGGAATTTTATGAATGTATATCATGTGTGTATGTATGAAATTTTGTTACACATGAAGTCTATTAACAAAAGATCAATACTAATATTTAGAACAATAATGTCTGGAAAAAACTACAGATTTTTTTTTTGTTGTTAAAAATGACACAAAAAATATTTGTATAAGTTGTAATTATTCTAAGAACGTTTTGTTTTTGCAAACCGGTGTAGATTTTGACATTCATAAGAGCTTTAAGTATAAAATGAATAAAATGTCCGGACTTTGACTTTGATTCTCACTCAGTCAACACAATTGGAATATCAGGACGAAATGGCCATGTACGAGTATACATACCCAATCACTAAAGTACCTATAGAAGATATACCTGATATTTTACACAGTTATTAATAAAATAATTACTGTTTATGAACTCATGATGACAGTAGTCAGGATAAATTTAACTTGACCTGGTCGCGGGTTTTAGACTCAATCGTGTAAGCTTCTAAAGTCACCTAGACCTGAAGCAAGAGTAATGAACTAATTGCCAGATAACAATATCACATTGGATGTAAACAATGTATTTCATAGTAAAAATACCTGAAAATTTGTAAAAAATATTTGTCATCTACAGTTTACCATACCTGCGCTGGAGCAGCGAGGCGCGCCGCCATGTCGGGCGAGTCGGGCGGTGAGGACTCCACCAGGACTTCGTCACCGGCACACTCGAAATCTGTGAAGAAATGTCACTTGAAATTGTTTATTACCCTCATGTAATACAGAACAGCATACAGAACACTGTGACAAATAGCTAAAAGTCTACTTGACTGTAAGTGGCACCCAACTTCAAACAAGTAAGGTCACAGATGTACTGCCAACATGGTGACTAAGATGAAAAGATGAAAGCACACTGTCTGTCCTTACCCTTCAGACTGATAAACAAGTATAGTATCTAGGGCAGGGGTCGCGAACCTTTATGTATCAATGTGCCATTTTTCTAAAGAAATATTTAATTAGGTAATAGACGTGCCGTAAAATAACTTTGACTTCGTGATTATTGGGAAAATAATAGTACTACATACTATCGACTCAAAACTCTTTATTTAAGTCAAAAAGTAAATAAAGAGTTTTGAGTTGAGACATTAATATTATGCATTGAAAAATACATTAGTGCGACGTCGTGTGCCATCGATGGCACGCGTGCCATTGGTTGCCATCCCCGATCTAGGAGGTAGGTCTGGTCTACCCAGTGGTGTCCTGGGCACAAAATGAGCAATTTGGTAAACATTTAATTCATTTATTCATTAGCCTGTCAAAGATCTGCTGAAAGTGATTGGAAGTGATTTATAAATCTCTTATAAAACCCCAATTGGAATATACCACACAAGTTTGGAACCCCTTTTACCAAGCGAATCGTGATTGACTAGAATCGTTTCATGGTTAGTATCGACGTTCTGTAAACTACAGATGTTACTCTCTCCACAGATTGCTTCATAAATGGGGATATTTCCCATAGTTGCCACACTTTACAGGCAAATTGGAACTGTGGTTGCTGATAGATGCTGCTGCCCACCTCCTGGTTTGTTTCCCTCTGATGCCTCTTACAACACAAATGTGACGATATGGGGTAGCGGATATTCTTACACTGCCACTACATAATAACTTACCATCATATAATAGAACAAGGAATTGGTTTAACAACATTCTAATGTACAAGGATATTTTAATTCTGGTATAGGCTAAAGAGAGATTTTGTATGTGATAGAGCCATGCTGCAGCTATATTATGGTTGTAGCAGGAATGGATCTGCTCCACCGGGGAGGGACCACACTCTCACAGAATACCAGTGTAAAATAGCAGCTTAATACTGCTGTTTCGTATGGTGAGTATAGAGATCCGAAGACCCTTTTTTACTGGAAATGAGACATTACATGTTAGTCCTCAGGGGTGACAATGCATCTGCATTTTGATTCTTAATTGAGAATAAATGTAGATGTCTATGGGCCACAGCATCCACTTACCATCAGGTGGACTGCGTGCTTGTTTGTCACCCTAATTCTATAAAAAAGAAATAATGACTCAAAACTTTTAAGTAAATACACCTGAAGAAAATTGTACAACATATTTACTTAAATTAGTAATTATTTGAACATCAAAAAAAATTTTCAAAAATAATGAACAATATTTTGTTAAATTCTAATTGATTCAATATTATAAAAGTTATAAAAAATAAGTTAAATTTTAGGAAACAAATGTTCTAATAACTATTTAAAACATCGCTAGTAAAAAAATAATGATTATCAAAATGATATAAAATAAATAAAATGATCATTGCATAATGCTATCCCAGGTGATAGAGATGTTATTGATCTGTCCGGAGCTCGGGCGGCTGGGAGTATCTGGGGAGTGTAACCCGGCAACACCTCATCCCTGCGCACCTTTACTCTCTATTGAAAAATCTAAAACATAGAAACAACACTCACTTTCTAAGTAAAACACATTCTCAAATCCCATCTCAGACATTTTCACTGCAATATAAATTAAACTTTAACAACAAACACTGATTTCACACAACAATAAAACATTATTGTTTCTTCACTGATGTACACTGACTGGTATTGATCAAACTGTTACTATGATACAGATTACTGTGTATCTGGTCTTGTCTAGTTATACTTTAAATTTGACTGGGAGCTAAAGTGAGTGTAGTTAGCTTTGTGTTAGTGGGGGAGGGCAGGTGGTTTGTCACGCTTCAGTTACAACACCTGCTCCTAGTGTGCAATATGCTTCACTGAACAACATTACCCTAGTGTTATTGATAACGTAGTAAGCTACTTTAGATATTAGTATATTATTACTTTAGAATGTATATTTTTTTGTACTGTAACTTACAACTATAGTAAGAAATTGTGTAACTGCTATAGTTTTGTAATTTTTGAAATCTTTACGGATGGTAAGTATAAAACTTGTGTGATAAAGCCGAATATATTTTCTTTAAAAATTAATTTCTATCTAACAAAAAACTTAAAAACAACATCTTTCTTAAACATAATTAATTTTAGCTATAATCACTACACAATACACAGACAAATGATAATAAGTACAAACTCTTATGAAGTACAAGCTTAGCAACAGTACCTACTCAAAATTTGCCTTTGTACACTAACATATCATTTTCAAATAGAAAATACTTTATATATGAAAATGGTTTGATATTATATAATTCATGAAATAAATCATGGTTTTGGTTAAAAAAAATTTTTACTAAAAATATGTATGTATAATTTATATATTTGGATATTAAAACAAAGAGAACTATAACAAAAATTCTGTTATCTGTTTTCATCCCTGTGGACTTTTAATAATAATTATGGTTTATTTTCCTATGTAAGAGATAAAAAGGTCCGCCGTTTGGCTTTGCCGTGTCAGGCACCGTTGTCCCGACCCTCCGACGATGATAAAATTGATACATAATGCTTTAAAGGGACACAAACAGGCGACGTATAGGGGAACCAGGAGGACGCCTGTCGCTCACTCGGACGAACGTTTGATAATCTCTAGACTTATCAACGTATGATTGCGATTATTATAATATATTACCTTGTTTTCTCTCAGGATTAAAATGCATTAATAATATGACGACCTGCCAGCCAGATAAGCGATCAATTTTCTCATCAATTTTGTGTATTTTATGCACCTTACTTTACAAAGTTTTATTTAACGGTTAACAATGCAAATTGCAGAGATAATTTCAGCAATTTTATGTAACTCGATAACCAGTGTTGTTGTCTGTAGCTACACCCGTTTCCTAGGCTACGGATCCGGGCTAGTCTGAAACTGAAAACTCAAAACTTTGACAGTAGCCAATAGGTGGCACTGATGACTAATTATCACATCTGTGATATCTTATATATTCTATGATCTGTGGATGGTGATTCCACAGTCTAATAAGCTGTGGTGATTCTGTGATTTATCAAATGACTTTAACTATAACTGTAACTATAATGTTTTGAAATTATATTCGTCTTACAGAGGAGAGACATTAGAACAATTTATGATTTAAAACCTTAGGAGTCACTCAGACAAATAATTAAAAAATTTAATATATTAACTTTGGCCTCTCAATATATTTATACGTACACAAAAATAAAAGTAGTTTTACAAAAATAAGTACCTATATTCACTCTGTAAATACTAGGAACGAGCACAAGCTAGTAGTGTAGGTACCAGTTCCTCGACTCCACCGAGTCAGTAATTCATTATTGGGGCAATGTATATGCTTTTACAACAAAATCCAAGAAAATATACAAAATTTGTCAAATTTCAAAAGCATTATTAACCTAAATTATACAAAGAGTATGGAAATTAGAAAAAAAAGTTTTAAACAAAAGTTGTAGAAAATAAACTGATCTTTAAAAATGGATTAATGCATTTTATTTATTAATCTAATATTTCAAAACTTATTGGCCGCGATAGAAAAATCGGTTCATTAAATGGGCCATAAATCGTAACCGGTAAATTTTACAAAAAAAGTTTACAAGAAACAAAAGATGTAAAATTTTATTTTCTATAATAATGGTCCTAATAACTTTTGCCTTAAAGTGTATAATTTCCGAGGTATCGGCTGAAAACCGTTTTTCAAGATGGCGCTTGAAGCGCTACCTGGATCTGTCAGCATTTTGTGATTTTATGCTCAGTAAGTGATCCTAAACCTTATAAAAAATAAAAATTGGATCGGAAATTTAGTGCTTAGTTAAATTCTATTTTTACTCTACTAATTGATTGTAAGCTAAATTTTTTTTAGTTCCGCTGGGTTTCTTGCTGGTTTTCCACTGACGGAGGTTTTTTGCCGAACCAATGGTAAATTAAAAAAGGTGACTTTCAATAAGTATTATTTATAATCTATATTGAATAAAAAGTTTCTGTTTCTGTCAAATGACTGATTTCTTTTTAGGTTGTTGAATTAATCTAATTACCTAGGTCATTTGATATTTATTATTTTAAGTGGCAACACTATTCAGGACCAAGCCGGACTAAGTTACATATTAAAAAATGATGTACAAAATAAAAGTAAGTTGATAGGTAACATTTTATTTTCTTTCAGTTTTGTCCATTGTGCTAATTTCTCGTAACAAAATAAGGTTACTAATCCAATTACTACTAAGATTACATTATAATTACATTTATGATTTTTTATTATATGCTATAATTAAATAAAAATAATAATAGTACTAATTTTGTGTAACTAGGTACCTTTTTATTAGATTGTGCCAGCTACTAACTAAAACCCAATTATTTTATACGATCTAAGGTAAATTATGTTATACTCTTTACCACCTACCTTCATCATCCTCAAAGATGATTATTGGATTTTTTAAAGTTTTAAATGTCATTTCCTTTTCCATTACGTTTCCTCTTCGAATAAGTAAATTAGGAAATGACATAAAGTTATTAAAATTCATTCGGAAGAAAGTGTAGGATTTATCTCCTAGGTAATTAACTTATTTATCAATTCTTAAAATACTTTTAATGACGTTGTTATACTGACATTATTTTTTTATATACAAAACGGGCGTTTGAGATTTTAATCTAGATGGCCATTTATATTTCTCTTTAAATTTCTCTCAATATTTATATTATGTATATTAATGACATACTATGTACATTATTTTCTTATTTTTATTAGTGTCTTTGTACACTATTAATAAATGACATTACAATTAATACAGTAAAATCTTAGGAATATCCTTATTTCTTTGAAGTAAAAACTAAAAATTATATTAAACTTTATATTTTTTATAATCATCTACTCTACTGCCGTTTGAAAATGAGCTCTGAGCGGTGAAAAAATGGCAATAGAAACTAATTGTATTTTTTTAAGTCAAATGCAATAATTATAAACATTATATTGAAGTAAGCCAATTGTAGTATGACAATAACAGACCAATGTTTGATCGAATGTAGCATCGACTATCATCATCAAAGCTCAAGATTTTATAATAATTGACTTTGATTCGGAGGCATGATTTATGATTCGAAAAAGGTACACTGGGTACCCTCAACCTAGCATTGACCAGGAAGCTTAGTATCGTGGCTTGAATACCTAAAATTTATCCCAGGAAAACCCACTTGCAGACCTTAGGTGAAGGGCTGACCTAAGGTAGCTGCTTTGAATGGAGGTTTGAGGTGGTTGCTCTTTAAAACGTGCTATATTGAAGTTGCATACGTCACACCACACCACACACACACACACACACCACACACACTCACACTCTATCTCTCTCACACACACACACACACACACACACACACACACACTCTCTCTTTCTCTCTCTCGCGCACACACACACACACACACACACACACACACACACACACACACACACACACGCACACAGGTGGTTGCTCTGAATGAAAAAAAGCGATCCCTCTCTGGAAGCGCGTTAGTAGTTAACTTTGGCAGATGAGGTGCCTCCGTCCCTAAACTTTGGAACTGAGGTGATGTCGCTTAAGAAAAGTAGTTTTTATATTGCAACGTGCCATATTTTTATGCATGTGTCCGGCTCTAGTACCACTTACTAGGAGGAAAAAGGAAAGAGTTGTTCTTTCTCGAGAAGTGACCGCCAGGAGTTGGATGGCACTGCGATGGCGGGATTAAGGCTGTATGCGAAGCAACTCCCTCAATTTTTTGATATTCTGTGTCTGACATAATCCGTCCTTACCTTCACGGGGTGGGAAAACTGAGGATATTTATTCCTCCTCTTATTGCTTATTCCTTCCTCTTATGTTTCAGATTAATTTAGTATTATTCTGTTATATAATATTCAGATTTAATTTATTCTTACAATTATTTCTTAGTAGTGGAATCAAAGTTAAAACTTCTACATCATCATCACCATCACAAGTTTGACTTGAAGTGAATACAGAACCCCCCCCCCCAAAGCATGGTTCAGAGCCCACCTGCATCCATAGAAGTTCTGCATCTATAACAGGTCGTCAGTCCATCTATAAGGGGATCACACTACTTACTGCCATTCGAGAACCTTTCTTCCCCATGTCGGTTTTTCGTATTATAAGGCCGGCCCATTGCCACTTCAGCTTACTGATCTGTTGGACTTTGCCGGCCACTCTAGTTTTACTTCTGATATCCTCATTACGAAGACTATTACACAGAGCACCTCCGAGCATTGAAGAGGGTTCTTGATATTGAGTTTCCTCAAACATTCAGGAGTGAGGGACCCTGTCACAAATTCATATATCAACACTGGCAATACACACCGGTTGTACTCTCTTGTTTTCAAATTTTGAGGTATATACGTGAAGATAACATATTATGTCGTAATGTCCATAACCCTCCCCCAGCCGAGTTGGACCCGTCGACTTACCAAGTCGGACTTTTTTTTCTAGGTAAACACACTTGTTAAAAACTTCGAGCGTAGTGCTTCCGACAACTACCGACATAGGTGAATGGTGTGACATGGACGTTACACATGACTTATGTTTAGTTCATGTTAATTTAGAGACACATTCGTTGGGAGACTCTATCGAGGTTATTGAGAATAGTACCAAGGTCCTCCAACAATTTTGCCATAATTACTATATCGGCGATAAATCGAAGGTGAGTGATGTACTAGCTATTAATGTTGATACCGAATCCTTTACAATACAGTAGCTTGAAAACTTCTTCCAGTGCAAAAGTGCAAGAGAGTTTTATGTATATAATATCTCCCAGTCTTACACCTCTCTGCAGTTGAATAGGTTTTTTATTTTAATTCTGTACTCTGACAGCCATCGTAGCTGCATTGTGCAAACACTTCGATATACCCACAGACGACTTGGCACCTCTGAAGGGACTGCAGCAACGCCTGCTTGTATGTATGTCCATAGAACCTCTCAATCTCACTCATTATCTTAAGTATTCCAGAACAATGTATCCATATTCAGTCTACAACTTCAACAGTGGGCTTTTTCTGGCGGACATATTCCTGGCAAAGACTTTGGAGTCCTGGTCCCGCTCAGTCGCTTCTTTAAAACGAGCTATATTGAAGTTGCATATGTCACACCACACGCCTCGTCTGTCTGTTCAGTTGCTTGTTTGTTTTCATATCTGCTGAGGCCTGCAACTTCATTTCTCATCTAACGGGCATAAGATTAAGAATGTAACTTAAATGTTTTTGGATTGGATCTTGCAGAATAAAAAAAAAGAATTAGTATTGTAAAAAATATTTGCTTTATTGTTATTACTATCCAGGTAGAAAGCAGAGGAACTCAAACATTTAGAAATCATGGCGCTTCACTATACGACGGTACAACCGCTTTTTCCGGCTTTATCTATAATTATCTATAAAACATCTGCTTACGTTTGACATATGCGCGGTAATATCGTGCAATATGAGTATTAAATGTACCCACATGTAAACAATTATCGGAAATGTTGTAACAAGTGCTTGAGTATGGTGATAGATATTTGAGGTTATGTACTGTCCGCTGGGTAAAGCTGCTGTCAAAATCTCCAAAGTATTGCAATGTGGCATATCAGCTAATTGAGAAAAGTTTTATAAACAAAACACAAATCAAATTAGGCTGTATGGTCTGAGATTTTTGCCTGCCTTAATTGACAAATCGTAACAATAACAACTTAGGGATGTCAATTATTTTTGAAAAAGATCGATTTTTGAATTGACTCAAATCGAAATCTGACGAATCGATACACAAAAAAATCGATTTCTAAAAGATCGATTTCTCAAAATTCTATTTTTTTTCAATTTGCTTTCAAAGTTGCTTCGATCAATAATATACTAGATTCCCGATGAGCGCTTCAAAAACGGCCAGATAAATAAGACCACAAACACTTCTGTGGTCTTATTTCAAATTAGTATAGTCCAATCATCGCCAACGTTAAAACGTCTAAATTTGGCAGTGCGCGCGTTCAATAACTGTGCAAATTACCACTGTAACACCAAGAATTGGGAAGGAATATATTTTTTTCGGTAAGTTTATATCACTAAGTATTTTTCATAAAATAAAAACAGAATTAAATAGCAAAAATAATTCAATTAGCTAATATTATTATTGTTTGGCCAATGTTTGCTACAATGCAACAACTATTGTAACAAACGTCGACTGTTCTTGAACAAACATGCATGGAGTAGTATTATTATTTAATATTTTTTTGTTTGTAGATTTCCTAGGGACCCATTTCGCTGTGCAGAATGAGTATCTATTGTCGCGAAAGAAAGAGGAGAAGAACTATATATACAACCCATTCAAAAATTTGAGAATACGTTCTATTCATTTTGATAGATTGGATATAACTGGAAACACGCAAAGGCGTAGATTACTAAAAACAGCGGTTCCCAAGTTGCAGGTAATTATCATAAAGTAGTAAAATTATTAGTGTAAAATTGTGTAGGTAGTGTAGTGCTTTTGGTGAAAAGTAAGTTGTTCATGACTTTTTTAGATTCACGGACCAAAAAAAGCTTTATGTTCAGAATGACGAAAGAGTTACTAAATCAGGTTATTAAAAAAATCTTTATCAGAAAAAAACTATACCTGTATGTATTTGCATGAAATACTTTAAAATTGTTTTCAATAAACTTTATCTTTTGAAGATATGACAGAAATACGTGACGTACCTCCAGCTGATGCAGTTTGCTTGAAGTCTCCTGGTGTATCATTATCAGATTTAACATCGATATGTAACACTCCTAGAAAAGGGTATATCAAAAAGAAATTGACGACCTTCCATTGAATTCCTACTACTTAGTATTACTACTTTTATAAATCGGTCAAAATTATTTGCCACCATACAAAACGACCCTTGCTCTAAAATTTTTATATTCTGCAACTCTACGTCTTTCAATAATCACTGTGTTCCATAACATAACATAACATAAACACTCACGCCTGTCACCCAGAGGGGTAGGCAGAGACTACGGACTTCCATTTGGCACGATCCTGATATACCTCTTTCGCCTCCTTTACATCCATATATCTACGCATACATGTTCGTCGGTTAAGGGTACTTCTAACGTGGCCCATTTTCAAAATATCGCCAATTTAGTCGATAAACTTTTTTCTAGGGCGTCCCTTCCCGACTCGGCCGTTCACATCTGCCATATAAATTTGCTTTGTCACTCTTTGCTCATTCATTCTTTCTACATGACCAAACCACCGAAGCATTCCTTTTTTAATCCTGGTAACAACATCATCTTGCATACCACATTTATCTCTTATCACGCAATTTCTCACCCTGTCATTCAGATTCAACCCTAGCATATTCCTTAAAGACCGCATTTCTACAGCATTTATTCTACTTTCGTGCTTCTTCTGCCACACCCAGCTTTCACTACCATACATTAAGGTAGGGACTAACACAGCATTATGAATTACCATACGTGCCTTT